AGACTTTCAGAGACGGATCCATTGGTGTTTTTTTTAGTTCATTTTGTAATACAGTGATACGGGACATTAATGGGAGACGGCTGCTATGGAGGACGGCCTGAAAGAAGTGGAAAAACAGGACAGCTGACAGCTCAGCCGCCATGAGGCAGAACCAGCGAGTTAAACCACCACTTAGACCTGGGGTGTCGTCTTCCTTTAACTGGATCCTAACATGATGTTTTACATCATGGGGGGGGGTCATTTATAACAGGCAGCTAATGCTATTAATCCTGCTTCACTGCACACACACACACACACACACACACACACACACACACACATGCTTTCCCATTCCTTGCAGCTGACAGCTTTGTGTTGCCTCCAAATTAGATTAGCATAGATTAGCCTTGACATGCAGGGCGTGTGTTCGTGTTGAGTGTTATTGAATCCATCATCCCTCGACACCTCACTAATGATGACATGACACACACACCTGGATACACACACACACAGCGTCCTCAGAAAGCAGGGAGCACTTAAAAGCTTTTCAGCTGCAGCTTCCTAGAAACAGGAGTCGGTCCGTCCGCCACCCGCTTGCTGGATGCTGTTACCTCAGTTAGCAATACCCCGTCTGCAGCAGCAGAGGGGAAGCTCTCACCATGCTGTCAGAGGTCAGAGGTCAGAGACCTCAGCATCGCTGCTAATTTGCTCACATAATTCTGTCTAAAGTAACCAGAAGGTTTTCACCACTGGATCCAAACAGAACCAGGTCCGGACTGTTCTTCACAATCAGAACCAGATTTAAAGTCATAAGGAAGTCTTATTTAAATGTCAAATTATTCTGTCTTAAACATGTATATAAATGTTCTCTTTATCAGACCATATTGTCCCAAAAGTTGGAAAATTTCTATTCAAATAAAAATCTTAAAATCTGTGTTTTTTTCCGTTATCTTCTGCAGGCCAGTTAGTTCTAACCTGACTCCGCCAGATGGATCTGCTCCGCATATCCATCTGGAAACCTTCAGATCAGATCAACGAAGCATATGACGTACTAACAG